GGGGGGAGGCAGGAGAGACCCTGGAGTGTGTCTGAGGACAAGAGTGAGTACTGGTGAGGTCGGAGCTAACTGGGGGAGCTGAGCACCCGGGGATGAGGCCCAGCCTGGGGAGAGCTGGTGAGGGCGGAGGGGGCAGGCTTTCCTGCCGAGGGAACTGGACAGCAGGATTCTGAGCAAAGCTTGCTGTGGTCTGACTTGCTAGGGGTTGGTGTGGAAGCCGAGAGGCGGAGCGGCTGAGGGGGAGGGCGCGCTGAAGGCGTCTGCCCCTTTCCCGTCCACGCGCGTACAGAAGACAAGAGAATGACCTTTATGGTGGCAACGAGCTGACCATCGTGATGAAACTTCTTGGGGGCCGAATCTCAACCGCTGTGACCGCCTCACCGAGGAGAGCCTCTTGCACGGGGACCGTGGCTTAACATGAGGGTCGGTGTCCTCGCCTTCCTGCCTGCGAAGCCACCAGTGGTCGCACGGGCAGGCCGCAGGCTCAGCAGCGAAGAATAGACGTGAAAGAGGAAGAATAAAGGGAATGGGGGGAAGTACAAGAGGACAGAGACCGGAAATCCCCGCTTTTCTGGCCGCTCTTCAAGGACACACGTCGATGACATCATCACACCGCGGAGTGGCTAATGCCTCTCGAGGTCATGCAGTGTGGTCCCTCTGCCCTTTGGGGGGGGTGGTCCTCCTTGATTCCTTGCAGTCTCTTTGCCTTCCGCTCGTCTTCCCGTTCCCCGCGAGAATGCGGGGCCTGACAGTTGCAGGAATGTCATTACTCCTCTGTTGTCTGTCCTGTCCTGCGCTCGCAGTGGCCGTCCAGGTGACGCAGGTAAGGGTGTTCCCGTGCTCATATCGGAGACAGCGTCTTTCTTAGATGACTGCCATGGCAACCTGGTCTTGGTGGCGGCTAGCAACTGTCCCGTGATTGCAAGTGTGCTGAAAACAGGGCCCCTAAGGGAGCCCTCGGTACCCGTCTTTGGGGGACTTCTCTGTCACTCACGCATCTGGTGGCCGGGACTCCTTCCCACCTGCCGACGATTTGGAAACACGCTCCATGGGAGCTGCTTGGGGAAAGGGAGCTGCCAGGGGGCAGGGCGGGGTCGACCTGAGTGTCCTTCTGGATGACTCCGCCAGGCTTCTGGGCACTGACCCTGCTGGGGACACGCTCCTGCCCAGCGCCTCGCACTCTTTTACTTCCAGACCGGTGGCCCAGGGGTGTGGTGCGAGACGGTGGCCGCCCGGCTGCGTGTCCCTAGCAGTGGTCCTAGCCAGTCCTGTCGCGGGGTTACTGGCTCGCTCTGATTCCACTGACTTCCTTTCAAAGGACCGTCGTAGCCCCACAGGCTCCCAAAGGCGTGAGATCATCAGGAGGAAGAACTATTTTTACAGAGGAAAAATCTGACTCCCGGGGAGGACATACTCAGTCGCTCAGATCCATCCGTCATGTGTGCAGCGGGTGGGCAGAGGTGCTGCGGCTAAAACGATGGCTTCTGCCATAACCATAATTGAGAGCGAAAAGCCAGCCGAGGTTGTGGGAGAAAGAAGCGCGTCCCAGTTCTGAGCGGCAGTGGGGATGACCTCACCCAGGGGACGGGAGCAGAGCTATTCAGAGGACTCACAGACGGAACTTCCCCTCGGGTCCAAATGTGAGTCACCGTGGCTTGTGTCTGTGCAGCAGGCTCCGTCCCCAGGCCTCCCACTTCACCCTGGGACATCATGGTCCCTGGTCAGGCGTCGTGACTCACTTGGTCTCTCGAGCCAGCCACCAGGGGTGGTGTCTCTCCCTCCTGGCATCTGTACCCTCAGTGTTATCGACACAGCTTGGCTGGCCGCCTTCTCAGACGTGATGTGCGAGACGTGTGTGGCCGGGAAAGGCCCCCGTGCCCTGCGGGGATCCAGCCAGAGCCACTGCCGCTGCCGCTGCCAGCAGATCTCAAAACTCAGTTTGGAAAGTCCGGGGGGCTCCGTGGAGCTAATGCAGCCGAAGCCCCGGCTTTTCCGAGTCCCAGGGTGACGTGCAGTGAGATGCCCCAGAGACGGGGGGATGAACAGAGCTGGTGAGGCTGGGGCTCCGTGTCATCCCATCTAGACAAGCAAGCGGGGTTCACCTGTAGGGCCCCGGGCTGGCAGGGCGCCAGATGGCCCGCCACGCCCCGCGCCCAGCCCCTGCCGTCATCGTTCCTCCTCGGTTCTCATCTTCCGAGGATAGAAATAGTGTCAACCTCACACCTGCTGGGAGCCCCTGGCGCTGAGACAGCCAGTGTCATTCCGACCTGACGTCATCTGTGTTTATCGTCTGTTTTAGAAACCAGGTAGCAAGAGGGACTTTCTGAGATTAAAAAATAATAATAATAATAAGTAAATCCCCGAACCCTTTCAGTGAATTTTTTTTCTCCTGATTTTTTATTTTGTTTTCATGTGTTCTCTTTCTTCATCTCTCTCTTAAAAGAACAAAATATTATAAACAAGACCATAGGAGAGTGAGGAAGGAAAGGTTCTCCAAAGAGGGGCCCGAGCTGCTTTTCCCAGATGGGATTAATTTAATGTCCGCTTGAGCGACTCGTCCTGAGATCTGCACTCCAGAGCCAACACAGGAGCCCGGTGCCAGCGTCCCGGCCTCAGTGGCCGGTCCTGCCTCCCAGCTGACACGGGACGCGTGCTGGCAGCCATGGGACGTGGTCTACAGCCACCTCCAGCCTCTGTCCTGCCCTAGAGCGGGGAAGCCGACTTCACAGTTGTGTCCTTTGGCTCGTCGGTTCTGGAACTTTCCACTTCTAGTCTTCTTGGTGTCCAAACGGGGTCTTGGGAAGGTGTGAGAGCCCCGTTTAAGGTAAAGGTCAAAGGTGACACAGACCTAGCCCCCGTCCCCTCAGACATCGCTCCAGATTCCTCTTGGGACAGCGAGGCACTGTCCCAGGGAGGGAGGTGAAAGGCGGGAGGGGCGGAGGCCAGGTCACGGGGTGCTGTTGGGTCCCGACCCCGAGGTCAGTGCCACAGGGTCCAGCCGACCCGGAGGACCCGGAGAACAGGTGGTCGAAGGGATGACAGGAATGCTGCTTGGCAAAGTTCGAGAGCCCGTGTGAAAGGGTCGCCCCGGTGACTCAGTCTGCGAGCGAACTGTGAAAGGGAAGTGACTCACTCTCAGCCCTGAACGAGAACTCCTCAGGCCGGGCCGCCGGCACCTGTCTGGGACGTGGTTAGTTATTAACGCTGCCAGTAAGAGTGTCATGGGAACCGGACGCTGGCCTGGCTCGCCGGAGGCGGCTCGCGCACGACCTGCCCCCTTCTCGTGGCCGCTCTCCGGCCTGACCCCGAATGCAGCGGAGCCCACGGAGGCCTCAGCGGTCCAGTGTCTCCCAGAGTGTCCCTCGAGGACGTGGATTCCACATGGAGGAGGAAGGGGACACCGGAGCTGAAAAGTCAGCCCGAATCTGGGCGTTCCGGGCGTGGGCCGTGGACGGGGCCGGCCCTGTCCGCCCTGCCCTGCGGGTGCCACCTGCAGAGAACTCTGGGTTCTGGGGCTCACTCAGATCCGCAGTGAGTACGTG